AGACAACGGAAAATAACATCACGTTTATCTGTGATAAACAACAGAGATTTTGGTATCGTTACCTTGAGGTGATTCCGGGGCTTAGCGTCCCCGCGGCCCGGTCGTCGACCAGGCCTCCAGATAAGAGATGGTAAACATAATGAAGAACTGAAACAAAACACAGACTTCAACACACAATCCAGGGGCCAGATTCACGAAGCAGTTACGCAAGCACTTACTAACCTGGGGCCAGATTCACGAAGCAGTTACGCAAGCACTTATGAACCTGGGGCCAGATTCACGAAGCAGTTACGCAAGCACTTACGAACCTAGGGCCAGATTCACGAAGCAGTTACGCAAGCACTTATGAACCTGAGGCCAGATTTACGAAGCAGTTACGCAAGCACTTACGAACCTGAGGCCAGATTTACGAAGCAGTTACTTACGCAAGCACTTACGAACCTAGGGCCAGGTTCACGAAGCAGTTACGCAAGCACTTACGAACGTGTACATCTTTCCTCAATCTTTGACGACTTTGGTTACATTTATTAAACAGTTTACAAGCATGAAAACTTGCCAATCAACTGTTGTTATTGTTATAAACAGCCTCCTGGTGCTTCGGAGCTCATTAACTGTTTAATAATTGTAAACAAAGCCGTCAAAGATTGAGAAAAGATGTACACGTTCGTAAGCGCTTGCGTAAGTGTGCTTTCCTGAATCTGGCCCCTGATCTACTCAAGGAATTGCAGTGTGCAGGAATTTCACACAGCAGTGTATCACTGCGGTGTGTAAGTCGGCCGAGCGGACAGCACGCTGTACTTGTGATCCTGTGGTCCTGGGTTCGATCCCAGGCACCGGCGAGAAACAATGGGCAGAGTTTCTTTCACCCTATGCCCCTGTCACCTAGCAGTAAAATAGGTACCTGGGTGTTAGTCAGCTGTCACGGGCTGCTTCCTGGGGGTTGAGGCCTGGTCGAGGACCGGGCCGCGGGGACACTAAAGCCCCGAATTCATCTCAAGATAACCTCAAGAAGAAGGAAGGAATACAATATGTAAAGCAACTGGGAATAATGATGTCTGACCTGACCTAACCTAACCTAACCTAACCTAACCTAACCTAACCTAACCTAACCTAACCTAACGTCGAGTGAACACAACAGAGGAAATATATCAGCAGCCAGGAATAGTGATAGGAGAGATTACGAGAACCTTCACATCCAGGGGCCAGATTCACGAAGCAGTTACGCAAGCACTTACGAACCTGAGGTCAGATTCACGAAGCAGTTACGCAAGCACTTACGAACCTGAGGTCAGATTCACGAAGCAGTTACGCAAGCACTTACGAACCTGAGGTCAGATTCACGAAGCAGTTACGCAAGCACTTACGAACCTGAGGTCAGATTCACGAAGCAGTTACGCAAGCACTTACGAACCTGAGGTCAGATTCACGAAGCAGATACGCAAGCACTTATGAACCTGGGGCCAGATTCACGAAGCAGTTACGCAAGCACTTATGAACCTGGGGTCAGATTCACGAAGCAGTTACACAAGCGCTTACGAACCTGGGGCCAGATTCACGAAGCAGTTACGCAATCACTTACGAACCTGTACACCTTTTCTCAATCTTTGACGGCTTTGTTTACAATTATTAAACAGTTAATGAGCTCCGAAGCACCAGGAGGCTGTTTATAACAATAACAACAGTTGATTGGCAAGTTTTCATGCTTGTAAACTGTTTAATAAATGTAACCAAAGTCGTCAAAGATTGAGAAAAGATGTACACGTTCGTAAGTGCTTGCGTAACTGCTTCGTGAACCTGGCCCTAGGTTCGTAAGTACTTGCGTAAGTAACTGCTTCGTAAATCTGGCCTCAGGTTCGTAAGTGCTTGCGTAACTGCTTCGTAAATCTGGCCTCAGGTTCATAAGTGCTTGCGTAACTGCTTCGTGAATCTGGCCCTAGGTTCGTAAGTGCTTGCGTAAGTAACTGCTTCGTGAATCTGGCCCTAGGTTCCTAAGAGCTTGCGTAAGTAACTGCTTCGTGAATCTGGCCCTAGGTTCGTAAGTGCTTGCGTAAGTAACTGCTTCGTGAATCTGGCCCTAGGTTCGTAAGTGCTTGCGTAAGTAACTGCTTCGTGAATCTGGCTCCAGGGATCACACAACAATGTTCAGACTGTTCCAGTCACTTCAACTGCCTCTCTCTCACTTTCACTACTGCCCAAGAGTGTAAGTGTACTTACACAGCCTTACATGCTGTGTAAGTACACTTAAACACCATGTAAGTGCAACACTTACATGCTGTGTTTGCTATATTAACCTGCAATGTAAAATGTGATTATCGTACTGTGATTTGTGCGTCCTCTACTTACGGGCTCACCATAGCCCGTGCTACTTGGAACTTTTTCTTCCAGGTAGCAAATCAACAACAAACAACCCTACTTCAAGTCCCTCTGACTTGGGGCAAAGGAGGGTAGAAATTGCCTAAGCTGCTCTATCCCTTTGAGATGTATTTTCATTTCATTTCATGAGATGTAACCAGTCTCCGTGGTGTAGTGGTAAGACACTCGCCTGGCGTTCCGCGAGCGCTTCTGTCATGGGTTCGTATCCTGGCCGGGGAGGATTTACTGGGCGCAATTCCTTAACTGTAGCCTCTGTTTAACGCAACAGTAAAATGTGTACTTGGTTGTAACAACGATTCTTCGCGGCAGGGGATCGTATTCCAGGGACCATAGGATTAAGGACTTGCCCGAAACGCTACGCGTACTAGTGGCTCTACAACCATGTAACAACTCTTGTATATATCTTAAAAATCTCAAAATTTTACGGTCAAAATGAACGTACTTAAAGTTGATTCAGAACTGCTAAATACTTCCTCATTTAAGGCAGAAGATCTTTCTGATTTATTGAGAATAGAATTAGAATACAATTCTTAGTGAGAATATATACAGGCACGCAAAGATATGCTAAAGAACCTATATTATTAAAACTGTTTCAAATCTTTCAAAATATACGCTCTAGAAAGTATACGAGCGTTGTATATAATATATACAAGAAACTATTGTATTATCTTGAGATTATCTTGAGATGATTTCGGGGCTTTTTAGTGTCCCCGCGGTCCGGTCCTCGACCAGGCCTCCACCCCCAGGAAGCAGCCCGTGACAGCTGACTAACACCCAGGTACCTATTTTACTGCTAGGTAACAGGGGCATAGGGTGAAAGAAACTCTGCCCATTGTTTCTCGCCGGCGCCTGGGATCGACCCCAGGACCACAGGATCACAAGTCCAGCGTGCTGTCCACTCGGCCGACCGGCTCCCTTACGAACCCTTCTCAGGTCCTAAATTCCCACAGACCAATAACAACGTACTGGAGTGAACGATATGGTAGGAAATGCAGAATAGAACCAGTGAAGAACAGAGGTGCTATTCTTAAGGGTTACTTCTGAGATGATTTCGGGGCTTAGCGTCCCCGCGGCCCGGTCGTCAACCAGGCCTCCTGGTTGCTGGACTGGTCAACCAGGTTGTTGGACGCGGCTGCTCGCAGTCTGACGTATGAATCACAGCCTGGTTGATCAGGTATCCTTTGGAGGTGTTTGTAAAGTTTTCTCTTGAACACTGTGAGGGGTCGGCCAGTTATGCCCCTTATGTGTAGTGGAAGCGTGTTGAACAGTCTCGGGCCTCTGATGTTGATAGTTTTCTCTTGAACACTGTGAGAGGTGGGCCAGTTATGCCCCTTATGTGTAGTGGAAGCGTGTTGAACAGTCTCGGGCCTCTGATGTTGATAGTTCTCTCTTGAACACTGTGAGGGGTCGGCCAGTTATGCCCCTTATGTGTAGTGGAAGCGTGTTGAACAGTCTCGGGCCTCTGATGTTGATAGTTCTCTCTTGAACACTGTGAGGGGTCGGCCAGTTATGGCCCTTATGTGTAGTGGAAGCGTGTTGAACAGTCTCGGGCCTCTGATGTTGATAGTTCTCTCTTGAACACTGTGAGGGGTCGGCCAGTTATGTCCCTTATGTGTAGTGGAAGCGTGTTGAACAGTCTCGGGCCTCTGATGTTGATAGTTCTCTCTTGAACACTGTGAGGGGTCGGCCAGTTATGGCCCTTATGTGTAGTGGAAGCGTGTTGAACAGTCTCGGGCCTCTGATGTTGATAGTTCTCTCTTGAACACTGTGAGGGGTCGGCCAGTTATGTCCCTTATGTGTAGTGGAAGCGTGTTGAACAGTCTCGGGCCTCTGATGTTGATAGTTCTCTCTTGAACACTGTGAGGGGTCGGCCAGTTATGCCCCTTATGTGTAGTGGAAGCGTGTTGAACAGTCTCGGGCCTCTGATGTTGATAGTTCTCTCTTGAACACTGTGAGGGGTCGGCCAGTTATATCCCTTATGTGTAGTGGAAGCGTGTTGAACAGTCTCGGGCCTCTGATGTTGATAGAGTTATCTCTCAGAGTACCTGTTGCACCTCTGCTTTTCAACGGGGGTATTCTGCACATCCTGCCATGCCTCCTGGTCTCATGTGATGTTATTTCTGTGTGCAGGTTTGGGACCAGCCCCTCTAATATTTTCCACGTGTAAATTATTATGTATCTCTCCCGCCTGCGCTCAAGGGAGTACAGATTTAGGCTCTTTAGTCGGTCCCAGTAGTTTAGATATTTTACTGAGTGGATTCTAGCAGTAAAGGATCTCTGCACGCTCTCCAGGTCAGCAATTTCTCCAGCTTTGAAAGGGGCTGTCATTGTGCAGCAGTACTCCACTCTAGAGAGCACTAGCGTCTTGAAGAGTATCATCATCGGTATAGCATCTCTAGTGTGAAAAGTTCTTGTTATCCAACCGAGCAAGGAGAGGTGGAGTGAGTGGTCCCCTGGCGCACTGATATTGTTGACCACCCAGGAGCACATCCCTCACCCATCCCCCATCCCCATCCCTATCCCACCCCATCCCTATCCCTCCCCATCTACCCCGTCAAGTCCTCTCCACGTCATCTTGTAAGACTCAAGGCTCCCTCATCGTCTTATAGGGCTCTCGACCTTCTTACCAGCGCCCACCTGAGCCTCTGTAGCATGGGGGCGGCGCAGAGGAAATGTTATGATGGGCGTGGGGGCGTGGGGGCGGGCGTGGAGGGGGGCGTGGGGGCGGGCGTGGAGGCGGGCGTGGGGGCGTGGGGCGGGCGTGGAGGCGGGCGCTTGGTTTTCCCACATCTTTGAGTTAGCCCGGCTCGGCTAGCCGTCTATCAACATCAGCTCGACATCAGCACCCATCAACAGTCCTATCCACGTAGGTGCCCTAACCACTGAGGATAGACCAACGTGTCTGTGTAGCGCATGATACTAACACATATTAGAAGAGTTAGGACAGATGGAGATCGCAAACTACTCCAAGCAAGCTGTACATATTATATATATATATATATATATATATATATATATATATATATATATATATATATATATATATATATATATATATATATATATAAAATATGTGTGTGTGTATCACGAAAATTAACACGTGATTAAAAATGTGACAGTGTCAGAACACGGAATTTCACGAATTTCCTTAAGTACTTTCGTATATCAATACATCTTCAGAAGGAAGGAATTCAAACATTCCTTCTGAAGATGTTTTAATATACGAAAGTACTTCAGGAAATTCCTGTTTCAATTCTTCCTCCGTGGTCTGACACTGTCACATTTTTCATCACGTGTTAATTTTCGTGATTTACACACACACATTTATATATATATATATATATATATATATATATATATATATATATATATATATATATATATATATATATATATATATATATATATATATATATATGTCGTACCTAATAGCCAGAACGCACTTTTCAGCCAACTATGCATGGCCCAATTTGCCTAATAAGCCAAGTTTTCATGAATTAATGTTTTTTTGACTACCTAACCTACCTAACCTAACCTAACTTTTTCTGCTACCTAACCTAACCTAACCGATAGAGATAGGTTAGGTTAGGTTAGGTAGGGTTGGTTAGGTTCGGTCATATATCTACGTTAATTTTAACTCCAATAAAAAAAAATTGACCTCATACATAATGAAATGGGTAGCTTTATCATTTCATAAGAAAAAAATTAGAAAAAATATATTAATTCAGGAAAACTTGGATTATTAGGCAAATCGGGCCTTGCATAGTAGGCTGAGAAGTGCGTTCTGGCTATTAGGTACGACATATATATATATATATATATATATATATATATATATATATATATATATATATATATATATATATATATATATATATCCAGTCTTGCCTCTCGCCATCCTAGAGACTGGATGTAAATCTCTCTTAACGTGAAGGTTCCTGTGGCTGGGAATGGGGACAATGGTGCTATACAGCTTCCGTGAGTGTTCAGAAATATAATTATTGTGTTCAGGATTCGTTCATTATTGAATATATTTGACAGACTTATCGTGACAGCTACATATCGTCTCTGTATGTGCATACCTTGACCACTGAGCCGTGACATGGTCTAAGGAAGGGGGGGTATATCTTGAGATATATACCTTGAGATGATTTCGGGGCTTTTTAGTGTCCCCGCGGCCCGGTCCTCGACCAGGCCTCCACCCCCAGGAAGCAGCCCGTGACAGCTGACTAACTCCCAGGTACCTATTTACTGCTAGGCAACAGGGGCATCAGGGTGAAAGAAACTCTGCCCATTGTTTCTCGCCGGTGCCCGGGATCGAACCCGGGACCACAGGATCACGCATCCAGCTAGAATAGCTTGAGGTAGCTCAAGCTATTCTCACCCCGTTCAGTACAACGTGTTCACATATAGACACACACAATCCACATATTACGGGACATTCTGAGTGATAAACATATACATTTCTTAATTGTATGCTTAGGGATGCCTTCTCGCCATGCCCTGTGCCTGGGGGCATTGGTGCCCTGAAGCTACATAAACACCCTATACCCCCCCGAAGTGGCAAGGGGAGTTAGGGGACAAGTACACATGCAGTAGGAACAAATCCACAAGGGCCGTGACGAGGATTCGAACCTGCGTCCGGGAGCATCCCAGACACTGCCTTAATCGACTGAGCTACGACAGGGTAAAAATCCCGGCCCTTGTGGATTTGTTCATTTGATGCATCACGTTAGTGTGATCTGTGTGTGTGATGGTCACATGCAGTCTGTTATCAGACGGACTCACCAACACTTGTATGACTAGGGTAGGCAGCCCTTGAGATCTTGAGATGTTATCTTGAGATGATGATTTCGGGGCTTTTAGTGTCCCCGCGGCCCGGTCCTCGACCAGGCCTCCACCCCTAGGAAGCAGCCCGTGACAGCTGACTAACTCCCAGGTACCTATTTACTGCTAGGTAACAGGGGCATTCAGGGTGAAAGAAACTTTTGCCCATTTGTTTCTGCCTCGTGCGGGAACCGAACCCGCGCCACAGAATTACGAGTCCTGCGCGCTATCCACCAGGCTACGAGGCCCCCCTGGGTCATTGTAGGACCCAGTTCTCAACCCCAAGCGTAGCACAATGTCCTAATGACTGCAATTGCATGCAACAGCACGAGAGTATGCGTTAGTTTAGTTCATTTATTATGCACCCCATACCCATCTTGTGGGCGGTAGTGGGTAGGGTTACAGAGGCACATAATGGGCTCAGCTCCCTGGAAACACAGACCGAAACTGTCTCTATTTTCCGCTTGTTACAACTTGTAATAAAGTTGTTACATCTTGGCTTAACGTGTTTATGACGTATTAGAACGGTGTTACAACTTGCTATATTGGTTGTTATAACTGGTTAGGAGGTGTTAAAAATTGTTCCAACGTTATACCAACGTCGTAGTTTCGGTGTGTGTTTGGCGGGGGACTGAACCCCACAATTCATTTAGCTAAGCAAGTTACAATCTTGATGAGCTAGTTACAAAATTCAGTATAAGTCGTCACATCAACAATGGGTTCGAGATCGACCTCAAGTACAGGTTCTAAATTAAGCACCTGACATATGTGGAGCTGTTTTTGATGGAGACTCTACCCGCTCTTATCAGGTATTTCTGATGTTCTTCAATACTAGTCTTGTCAGAAGTCGATTAAGGCAGCGTCTTGGATGCTCCCAGACGCAGGTTCGAATCCTCGTCACGGCCCCTGTGGATTTGTTCTTTAGTCTTGTCAGTATTCGATTAAGGCAGCGTCTGAGATGCTCCCAGACGCAGGTTCGAATCCTCGTCACGGCCCCTGTGGATTTGTTCTTTAGTCTTGTCAGTATTCGATTAAGGCAGCGTCTTGGATGCTCCCAGACGCAGGTTCGAATCCTCGTCACGGCCCCTGTGGATTTGTTCTTTAGTCTTGTCAGTATTCGTTCACGAGCGAATTTATCTTGATGTTAGAGATATAATTCTATCTCTTTTTAGGTGTGTTTCTTGCCCGGAAGGGCGCCATGGATTGAGGGCCAGCCGAATTGTGTACATTTTTATCCCTTATACTACACATAAGGGGCATAACTGGCCGACCCCTCACAGTGTTCAAGAGAGAACTGGATAAGCACCTCCAAAGGATACCTGATCAACCAGGCTGTGACTCATACGTCAGGCTGCGAGCAGCCGCGTCTAACAGCCTGGTTGATCAGTCCAGCAACCAGGAGGCCTGGTCGACGACCGGGCCGCGGGGACACTAAGCCCCGGAAGCACCTCAAGGTAACCTCAAGGTTATGTCACCTGGTTCATCATTTCCTTTACTGTTTGGGTAATGAGGCGAGTGAGGAAGGGAAGGTAACTATCGGGGGTAAGCGCCAAGCCCTTACGACTATATAGCACTGGGAAGGGGTCAGGATAAGGATTAGGGATGGGACGGGGGAAAGGAATGGTGCCCAACCACTTGGACGGTCGGGGATTGAACGCTGACCTGCATGAAGCGAGACCGTCGCTCTACCATCCAGCTCAAGTGAGTGGGGGGGGAACTGTTTAACTGTCTTATAGCGCTAATCATTAATATAGGGGCTTTGGGGGGGGGGGGTATTTTGTTTCGGTTTTAAGAGCTTCAAGAGCCAGCAGGTTTTAAGAGCTTCAAGAGCCAGCAGGTTTTAAGAGCTTCAAGAGCCAGCAGGTTTTAAGAGCTTCAAGAGCCAGCAGGTTTTAAGAGCTTCAAGAGCTTCAAGAGCTTCAAGAGCTTCAAGAGCCTACAGAAGTTGGGTTGTGTAATGTGAGGCTGGGTTGGGTTGCTCGGTGTAGGGCGCCTGACAGCTGAGTGGACAGCGCTTCGGACTCGTAGTCCTGAGGTTCCGGGTTCGATCCCTGGTGGAGGCGGAGACAAATGGGCAAAATGTTTCTTTCACCCTGATGCACCTGTTATCTAGCAGTAAATAGGTACCTGGGAGTTAGTCAGCTGCTACGGGCCTGTCCTCGCGGGCCTGGTCAAGGACCGGGCCGCGAGGACACTAAGCCTCGAAATCATCTCAAGATAACCTCACGATAACCTCAAGAAGATAGCTTGGCAGTGTAGGTGCGCACGCCGCTCTGGTGAGGTCCCAAGACTGCTCCTTCACGTGCCCAGCACGGAAAATAATGGAAATATTGCCTAAAAGGCTCCGATGTATTTCAAGTTGCAGCGCCGCATGTCACAGCCATGATATGGCTCAGGATCTATGGTACCCCAGCCATGATATGGCTCAGGATCTATGGTACCCCAGCCATGATATGGCTCAGGATCTATAGTACCCCAGCCATGATATGGCTCAGGATCTATGGTACCCCAGCCATGATATGGCTCAGGATCTATGGTACCCCAGCCATGATATGCCTCAAGATCTATGGTACCCCAGCCATGATGTGCCTCAAGATCTATGGTACCCCAGCCATGATATGGCTCAGGATCTATGGTACCCCAGCCATATGACTCAGGATCTATGGTACCCCAGCCATGATGTGCCTCATGATCTATGGTACCCCAGCCATGATATGGCTTAGGATCTGTGGTACCCCAGCCATGATATGGCTCAGGATCTGTGGTACTCCAGCCATGATATGCCTCAAGATCTATGGTACCCCAGCCATGATGTGCCTCAAGATCTATGGTACCCCAGCCATGATATGGCTCAGGATCTATGGTATCCCAGCCATATGACTCAGGATCTATGGTACCCCAGCCATGATGTGCCTCAAGATCTATGGTACCCCAGCCATGATATGGCTCAGGATCTACGGTAC